GTATCTTAAAATTATTTAAAAAAAAATCAGGCATTTATTAAGTACCTACTATGTATTTAGTTAGGCATACAAAGTTGGTCTTAATAAATACTTAGTTGATTTATGGTGATGCTGCCCCATCACTTAATATTTAATTATTTTCTCAGATTCTTATTTCTCAGTATCTTAAAAAAAAGTTTATAATCTGTTCTTTGTAGTTAACTTGTGATTCCATGCAGAAAAGTTCTAGTTTTCTACCACTCTTAATACATAACAGATCCTGAAATACAATCAAAGACCTCACGAAACATTGTAATTAGTTTCAAGGTTGAATGCTATATAAATGTTTGATTCTCCATGGAGGGGAAACTACATCTAAATCAAATGAGTTAGAACATATATTCTCTGCTCTTTTAGAGAAGCTAACTTTAAATCCTTTAGTTTCAAAATTCCTTTATAAGCTCCATTGAAAAGGAATGAAAAAAGAAAAAGGTAGCTGAAAATTCAAATTACAATAAGTCTCCAATATTGTTTTTAACAGTAAAGTTGACTAAATAGAAATCATTATTAGAAGATGACAATTATTACTATTCTCACAAATCAAAGTTTCATCTTATGAGAGTTTTAATTTTCTCTTTTGTTCATGAAAAGTTTTCAAAAGTCGCAGCTAATCTTTCTTTAACCAAATCATAATGTTTTCCCCATAAATTTTATAGCAGCAATTTAGGCACATCGTGTGTGGGAGGCTAAGAACATCTTTTTTTTGTTTTTTTAAACAGAGTGAATATTTTAAAATCACTCAGTATGGTATTCCTATTTAAGCCTTTTCATTAGTAAAACAATAAATACATACAGCTAGGATATGTCTATGAATTCCTTTTTTATCTACTCTTGATTATTATCACACTAAAAATACCCCAATTAGGTAAATTATTATCAACTTTCTCCCCCAAATTACAACTTTTCTCTTGTCATTAAATATCCATTTTATACCTACATGAGAGAATGAATACTACCTCCTCACAAATAGATTAGAAAACTGGATCCCAAACAATCATACAATACTGAGCAGCATGTCTGTACTCTAGAAATTAGATTAAGCTTTTCATGAATTTCCTATAGAAAGAAAAATAATTTCAATTACACTTTTTCTTTTGGTGAAAATAAAATGTTTAAAAAAAAAACACTGCTGGGAAACTAATAAGTATTCACTTTTTAGCAGAAAGAGTCCCCCTAATCAATCATTAGACCTAAAATTATTAAATCTCTTCCAACCATATCAGAGGAAGAACAAACAGAATATTCAGGTAGAAACATTACTTAAAATCCCTATATACTGACAGCATGACTGTCTATATGTGTGTATATATATATATATATATATATATATATATTTTTTTTTTTTTTTAAACAGAGTTTCATTCTTGTTGCCCAGGCTGGAGTGCAATGGTGCAATCTCGGCTCACCACAAACTCCGCCTTCGAGGTTCAAGCGATTCTCCTGCCTCAGCCTCCTGAGTAGCTGGGATTACAGGCATGTGCCACCACACCCAGCTAATTTTTGTATTTTTAGCAGAGACAGGGTTTCTCCATGTTGGTCAGGATAGTCTCAAACTCCCGACCTCAGGTAATCCACCCACCTTGGCCTCCCAAAGTGCTAGTATTAGAGGTGTGAGCCACCATGCTCAGCTGATTGTCATTTTTAACAAATTCTTCATAATTTCCCCCACTTTATTTAATTATACAATTTAAGTATTAAATTGTAGTTGTCTCAAAGGTCCAGATCTCTTTCTTGAGAAGGTCTTGGGAAAAGATTTATGACTAAAAAACTATGCTTCTGAATAAGCTGTCAAGAGCTAACTAAAGCACAATGATGACATCACCATTCTGGCAACGAATCAACAACATAATTCTCAAATTTGTAACTGAAAAGTAAATAATGAACATTAAGTTCTAAAACATGTTAAAAAAAAAAACCCTAAGTACTGTAGCTTGGATTGCAAAAATGTTAAAAATGAACAGCTTTGAGTTCTCTGTTGATCAATAATCAACAGGCAACAGACACCTGTAGTGGTATTTCTTAGGTTTCTTTAAGGCTGATGGGAGATGAGATTCACAGTGCAAATATTCTCTAAGAACATAAAAGCCTTGGAGCTTGAGATTTATTTAACTCCTTCCCTAAGATGGAAGGAAATTTAATCCATACAACATACTTCCTAAAACTGAATATGAAAAAATAAATGTGAAAAGTTAAATAGAAAATATCTGATGAATTCTGCTTCAAATCTTTCCTTTTGCAAGCTGACTTTAACCTGAAGACTTGACAATGTGACACTTAAAATGAAGCCACAGAACACCTACCTCTTTATTTCATTGTTAACACCACAAGCTATACAGAGAGCCTTCTCACGGAAAAATAAAATCCAGATAGTATTAAAGCATCTGCCAGTTACAGTTGGAACCACACACTGAATAGCTAGCTGTCTGCTCACTGTTCTTTCACTTAAGCACCTCATAATGTGTGTGGGTGGGCCTATGTTACGCAAAATAGGTAAACACTACATAATTCTAGATTCAATTGACTGAAGTGAGAATTCACTTCTCCCTCACCTCCTCCCTAAGGAAGTCTGTGGCCCAAAAGGGAAGAAACGGAAGTAAGGGGAAGCACAGAGTAATTTTTAACACAGGCTTAATATCAAGTTATAGAGTAAAGTACTTCCAGAAAGAGTATTGATATTCCATTTCTTAAAAGGCAGCCTGAATTAACTACATAAATATGCTATAAATGTCAGAAGTATAACTATGATACTGAAGCACCTTTTTATATTAGTAAACCTATTTTTACAGATTTAGTATAGTACTCACTCTGTTAAGCAACACTCCATTTTAAAAAACACAAGAATAAATACAATTCATATGTAAAGAAAGAAAGCCCCTTTAGCACTATTAAGTGAAAATGATTTTTGTGGTCTGGTTATAAAATACTATATTATCCTAGGCATAAAAACAGGTGAACATTCAATCACATTTTCAATTGATCACACATGTTTATTTCCAGCTTTATTCTTTACCACTTTAAATTAGATGCATTTGATGCTCATGAATGTGGAGAAACTATAGCAGTACCAAGAGGTAAGCTGGGATTGGACAAGCTTCATCAAATAGCTAATGAGAAGCACCTACTTACTGACATGTGCTGCTCTCAGATTATCCCACTAGTAAATTCCATTCTAGAAAGTACTGCCTGCTACTCCACATTTCCCCATATGCTGTCTCAGGAAAAGAAGTGTGTTTTCTTACGGTGAATGGTTACACATAGAGTTAGTCTAATCCTCCAAATAGCCAAAGGCGAACCTGATTAATTACATTTAAGATTATTTAAAAGAATACTAAAATTAAGTCACAAGAGTAAATGCTGTTCATACTTGTTCAATAATTTGCCCATGCAAATCATCTATAATTTCTACCCATTAAAGTTCAACTTGAGTTTAGATGCTTGATATTCTTTTATTAAAGTTCTTTAGCAGCCCCTAAGTGTTCAACCATTTAGCTGATTACAGCAGAGCCCTAAAATTATATTGATACCCATAGTTCAGAGCCACCTATGTAAATGGCTATCTAGACAATTTTAGACTTAATTCAATTACGTTATACTGAATAATACATTGCTAATAATACCTAACTGGAAAGTCAGTAAGTGTCCTTGGTGACCTTAATTGTAATAATTCAAAGTCCCACCTATAAATACATTTTTTTTAAAGCTGTATAAAAATACTTTTGGTGGCCCTAAGTTTATCTGCAAAGCCTTCTCTCAATGTGTCCACAGGACAACAGTTCTGGTTCACAGTAGGGCTATCATTTTTAAAAGAACATCACTATAATAGTACCTAGTAACTTAGTGACTTGGCATAAAAGGAACCACCCTCTATCACAGAGCTACGAGTTTACTTCTGTTGTTTCTCAGCATTCCATAACTGTCACATCCCCTGAAGCAGTTCTTCTATAAATCTGTATAATGTTTCTTTGCTCCTTGTGCTGGCAGCAGGCCCACTTAATTTGCAGCAAAATAAATCTGGCTGCTTATATCCAATGTTGACACCTGTTCAATCCAGGAAACATACCTGTAAAAATGATCAGGGCATATTCTAGGATTTGCTATTTGATGATCCTGCCTTGTCATGTGCGATTCTGGGCTGATGAAATTGCTCAAGAAGCCGGACATGACAGGTTTAATACTCATACTAAATAAAATGTAGTCATAGTTGACTCTCAATGCCCTATACTTGATTCCATAACAAAACCTGAGGTCCTGCCATTCTTTGAACTAATATACCAACTCTTTTAATTTTGGAAGTATATTTCCTGCTTAACCCTAGAAAAAATAAGATAGCAATAGTTCTTGTATCATCATTACCATCTTAACGATTAAAAACGGAGCATTAAGAGTATAAAAATTCCTTATATATTTCAAGATCTGTGTTTATATCAAATAATCTCTTGAGGAAATATATTTTTTCTTAAAGAGTTCAAAGAAGACATTAAAGACAAAAATCTCCATATTTTCTGAGTATTATAATCTATTTTTATAATGGGACAAAGACCCATATTCATAAGGGAAAAAAGGGTTAGAATTAAATTTCTGAGCTTTTCAAACCTAAATTTTTTAAAAGATAACTTTATTTTTGCTTCTCATATATGCTTTATTTACAGTGATGTTTAATAAGATCATGAAGGCCAGTCAAATACAAAAACAAAACATAACCAAAACCTTAAGTAGCATTCTTGGTGGCAATCAAAGTTACCAAACTGGCAAATGAACCTGAATCTCAATGACCTTTCCCCTACTCTTCCATATCCTGCTTGGCCTACAAAAGTCTTAAACTTCCTTATTGTCCTCTATCATATCTGTACCTCTAGCAATTATTTCAGCTGAGCTCAGGGAAAATGACACACTTTCAGTTCTCTGAAACTTAAAAAAAAAAATAACTCCAGAAAACAAAACAAAAAACAAAGTATACTTACCTCACAATTTCTCACCCTTTTCAGATGTTTCTTTTCTTATGGACCTATTTTTCTTATTAGGTTTTGTTTCACCTTTGAACACACAGATCTCTGAGAACGTCCTTCTTCTTTAATGATCTCTGAATACTTCCAAGACAGCAATCAAGGACTCATTCCTCACGGTCCCTTTACCTCTAGCCACACCCACAGCAGGTGCATAAATTATTTCTTCCTTTACTGGTGACTCTTAGGTCACACATTCCTCTATCTCACAATGCAAATTCACACAGATGGCATTTTTATTGAATACTGACATACGCCCAGTTTTTTACTTGTCAAATCCATCTAACTCCAATCCTTTTGAGAAAATGTACATTAGGCCTAAGATTTTTCAACAAGGTTTAAGAAGAAAAATAATCACTGTTACTGTATTCTATAATTATATTTTAAAGATGGAAAGACCTTAATATACTGTGCAATTTGTTCAATTTTCCTTCCAATTTCATTTTATAACAGATGAGAAAAATGTATATTCAGAAAGGTTAAGTTATTTGATGACAGTCATAGGGCTAAGTAGTGCAGCTAGGTAACTGATCCTTGGACCCCTTTGTTAGAGTCTGTTTCATTAATTTTGGAGGCAATACCATAAGCACTAAAGAACAGAGCAGTCAGCCAACAAGTAACTCCTATCTTGTACTGTGTATTATTAACAGGAGATAGCCAAGTGTTCAACTTTAGCTCCACTCTTGGCTATATGTTGTAATTTTATACCACAAAGAAAAAGCTGAAAATTAGACAAAAATTTAATGACAGGCATACCATGGAGATTTGTTTCTTTTTGCTCACCAGATAGAGCACTGCCTCCCTAAACTGACTGTTCATACTGCCACTTTGTAGGCTTTGTTTACCTGGCAGTCTACTTAAACAAAAGAAAGCTTGGTATCAAAAGTACTGCCATAGGTAATCTACATAATAGGAAAAATTATTTGCAAATCATATATCTGATAAGGGACTTATATCTAGAGTATATAAAGAGGTCCCATAACTCAATAAAATATAAATAATGAAATTAAAAATTGGTAAAGGATCTATTTATTTCTCCAAAGAAGATATACAAGTAGCCAATATGCACATAAAAAGATGCTCATTAGTCATTAGGGAAATAAAAAACCCACAATGACCACTTCAAACACACTAGGATGGCTATTATCAAAAAGTCAGATAATGACAAATATTGGTAAGGATGTAGAAAAGCTGGAGTCCTTAATCACGGCTAGTGGGAAAGTAAAATGGTGTAGTTACTCTGGAAAACAGTCTGGCAGTTCTTCCAGATTAAACATTAAGTTATCATGTGACTCAGGAATTCAATGCCTAGGTAAATACCAAAGAGAAATGAAGACCTATGTCCACACACAGACTGTGCAAAAATCTTCACAGCAGCATTATTCGTAATAGTCCCAAAAGTAGAAACAACCCAAATGTCCATCAATGATGGATAAACAAAATGTAGTATATCCATACAATGGAGTATGATTTTGCAATAAAAAGGAATGAAGTACTGATATTTACTACAACATGGATTAACCTTGCAAGTGAAAGAAGTCAGTCACAAAGAATCACGTATTGTATGATTCCATTTATATGAAATGTCCAGAACAGGCAAATCCAGAGACAGAAAGTAGATTAGTGGTTGCTTGGGAGGAGATAGGAAGAGGAGAGAACAGGAAATTGGGGAATGATAGCTAAAGGGTATGAGATTTCTTTTTCGGGTGATGAAAATGTTCTAAAATTGATATGCTGCACAACTCTGAGACTATACTAAAAACCCTGAAGTTTACCCTTTAAGTGTTTACATACATGATTATAAAAATTATACCTCGATAAAGCAGTTACAATAAATAAGCAAGGAAATAAAGCACTAGTGCATTAAAAATAAAACCCCACTATAGACTCAAGGATTACTGGATGCTAGCACATGCCTCCAGAATTCAAATACATTACTGATCTTATGCAACTTTAGAGCCTACCTAAATTTTAAAAACTCTAGATACTGTTAACTCCTATTTCTGGAGTCAGAGAAACTGTGGGAAACTAATCTTTTGAACATTCTACAAGATCAATTTTCACAAGCAAAACTGAAAACTTTCCCAAATGAACTGCTTTTTGTACTAGAAATTATGAAACTGACACTTAGGTTTGGAATTTTAAATCTCATAATCTGTTTAAGACTAGTTTTAATCACAAACAGAGCTTTTTAATGTTTTTGCTGATAATCTTGCATCATGTTCAATGAGTGTTCTCTCTGACATCAACCACCAACTCTCCAATTCTGACACTGACTTGGTATCCAACAAATCAATTCAATTCTGACACTATCATCTACCTGGAGTTAGTGTCAGATCTCACAAGTTAAAGGGCTCAGTGCCAAAAGACACCCCCAAGTTCATATGCCTATCAAAAGTCTCAAACTACCTGACTTTTGACCAACTAACTATAAATTGGGGGTTCCCACAACCCCCTCCTCAGGTTCCATAATTTACTGGTACAGCTCACAGAAGAACACAAGAAAACACTTCTTTTATGTTTACTGGTTTATTATCAAGAAGGCAACCCAGGAACAGCCAAATGAAAGAGATGTACAGGGCAAGGCATGTGGGGGCTACAGTAGGGCAGTGGAGCTTCCATGCCCTCTCCACGAATGCCACCCCTCCAGTATCTCCATATGTTCACCAATGCAAAAATTCAACTCAATCTCCAGGCCTCTGTCCCTTTCCCAGAGGTCACTGGTGAGGATAAAACCCTCTTAATTTCCCTCATAAGTCCCAACCCTCTTAATTTCTTGGTTCTTCTGGTGACCAGCCATCTTGGGGCCCTACCCTAAGTTACCTTTCAGTTATGATCGGAAAGGGGGGTGTTGTAAATCATAAAAGACATCCTATCACTCAAAAATTTCTAGGCATTTTAGGAGCTCTGGGCCTGAAAGATATACAACAGCAACAGCATTACATTAAGCTGAATATTCAAATACATAGCTCAATATAAGCCCATGACCAATATAATTTCACTTGATTCCTATGAGGACAAAGACATTACCAAACCAACAAATTTGGTATTTAATCCAATGCCTGGTATTTAATATAAATACCTAATGCTTTAATTAATTATCTAGCCTGTCCCTCTAGCTAGCTAACTGTCCTATTGGTTAAATAGCTATAAGTCAAAATCCTCTAATAACTAATATATCCAGGTTACCAGACGATATAGAAGTACCTAGATTAGTATAGGTTGAGCAACCCTAATCTGAAATTGCAAAATGCTCCAAAATCTGAAATTTTTGAGCAACATATGACATCATAAGTGGAAAATTCCACAAGTAAGTACTTAACACAAACTTTCATGAACAAAATTAATAAAAAAAATTGTATGAAATTGTCTTCAGGCTGTTTGCATAAGGTGTATACAAAACATAAATGAATTTTATAGGTCCCATCCTCAAGATGCCTCATAAGATAAATGCAAATATTCCAAATCCGAAACACTTCTGGTCCCAAGCATTTGGTTAAAGGATATTTAACCTATACTTCCTATAAAATGCTAATTAATGATTTATTAATAACAATTGTGAGCTTTCTTTGCAGTTTAATTAGTTTCAATGTTGGAGCAGTTTTTAAACCAAGGGCTGTGATCTCCCTACCCTTTTTTTTTTTTTTTTTCGAGACGGAGTCGTCTCGCTCTGTCACCAAGCTGGAGTGCAATGGCACAATCTTGGCTCACTGCAACCTCCACCTTCCAGGTTCAAGTGATTCTCCTGCCTCAGCCCCCTGAGTAGCTGGGACTATCGGCATGTGCCACCACACCCAGCTAATTTTTGTATTTTTAGTAGAGACGGGGTTTCACCATGTTGGCCAGGATGGTCTCAATCTCTTGACCTCATGATCTGCCCACCTCAGCCTCCCAAAGTGCTGGAATTACAGGGGTGACCAACCACGCCCAGCCAGTCTCCCTACTTTTAATTTAGTGCATCTAGAGTCATCAATAATACAATTACTAACCCAACAAATATTACTGAGCATTCACTGTAAGGTCAGAAGAAATGGGAGTATTCAAACTACTGCAAAAGGTATGGCTCCCTATATCAAACATTTGTTTACTTATGCTTATTTAAAAAGGTATAAATCAATTCAGTACAGAACAGATACCACATTAATGCAAAAGACCATAAATGCTGTAAGACTTCAAAAAAAACTGTTACTACTTAGGAGGAAGAGGAACAGGATAAAGCTTCATAGAAGGAGAGATACTTGATTTGGACCTTGAGAGACAGACTAGATTTTGATAAGTGGAAAAAAAAAAAACAGGTGGAAGAAACAATTGCATGAAGATAAAAAAGACAAGGGAAAAAAGTATATTGTGTTCTCAGGGAAGGATAAGTAAGTAGGTTCCCTGGAGTTTGGTTAGGAGATCAATATAGAGTAAGTTTGTGGAAATCATGAACCATGGCTTTGTAAGCTCAGTGACTGTCCGGAAGTGTTGAATCAATGTTTAATAGCTGAGTGAGATGCATCTGGAAAGATAAAGAAGCGCCTGAAATAGCGGACCTTAAGAATCAAGATAGAGACTGAACTTTATCCTAAAGTTAATGAAAAACCTTTAAACTTAGGTTTCAGAAAGAGGAAGAAAACACACAAGTATATAGTGGGTACTAGGAACTTTCATATGTTAACCTTTACAATTGTCCTGTGACAGATCAGGAAACCAGACTAAATAATTTGTTCAAGGTCATTTAGAAACTAAGTGGCTAGAGCTGAGATATAAATTCAAGCATGTGTTCTTTCTACCATTCCATACTGCATGAATGAATAAATAAATCAATCAACCAACCAGTGCCAGAAGATGTCTGGCAACAATGTTTAGGACAAAAATAATGTACTATATCAAATTTACATTTTTAGTCTGTTTATTATTGCGTTATGGCAACTTACTTTTTTTGACAAATTTGAGAGGAATATTGAAATAGTCTGACCCAAAACAGAGGCTGTGTAGCATACATAAAATTCACTTTTGCGACCCTTGTGAAGTCATCTCAAAAAGAAACCTTTCAGAACAGATAACTGATAGATGAGAGACCAATTTACAGGTGGAGAGAGAAAGATGTGCCATATATTTTAAGACAAGACAGATGAGGAAAACTATAAATTGAAAGGCCTAAAAGACACATACAGCCTGGTTATCTTTCTAGTTACTGATTCTCCTCATTTGTCTTGGTAATTTTTTACTATTTGTGAAAATCTATCTTGATGAATACAGGAGGCTCATGTGGGCTCCCTGAGGATTTGCATATATTATGATTGAATTTCTCCCAGGAGGAAGGCTCTTTCCCTAAGGAAGGAGATCCTTGGAGTCACCAGACAGTGATGGTTGTAACAAATCAGTAATGTGGCTCTTTCCTCGAGTAAAATGGGTTGCATGAAAATGTCTGGAACACAATTATGTCAAAGAAATAAGAAACTGTATATAAAGCTGGAGGAAGCTTATTAAACTATGTAAAACTAGCTTGGACAAAATTAATCAGAAGGAATCTGTAGATGTTGGATATGGTCTTTCTATTTTTAGATATTAAGAACAAGTACAAATTAGATCAAGTATGAGTTTACTCAGATTGGGGGGAGTAGGGTAGGGTGGATTAGAACAAACCCCAAAAAATTATTCAATTATGATTTTTAATATCTGTATACCAAAATATAAAACCGTACTTGAAAAAATTCAGTTTGGTGTAAACAAAAAGTATGACAATTATTAATTCCTCTTTACATCTTTATGGTAGAGAAAAATATCTTTATACTCTTAAGATGGATAGACTACCAAGACCAGAACAAACATCCCCTTAAAGCATATTCATTTGAAAAGTTCAGGTTGTTATCTAACACTTTTGCTATTTATTCAACAACAATAACAAAATAAAGGAGAATGAAGACATAAAACCTATTAAATTCCAAGCCATTAAGAGTTTATTTGAGGCTTACCAAAGTGGTTCACGCCTGTAATCACAGCACTTTGGGAGGCCTAGGCAGGAGGGCTGCTTGAGCACAGGAGTTTGAGACCCGCCTGGGCAACATACTGATTCATTGTCTCTAATAAAGTTTAAAATTTCAGACAGTTATGATTCCGTATGAAACTTGTTGGGCCACCATGCTTTAGTAGATCATAACATCACAGTTATGTTTTTCAAACAATGTTGAGTGAGGTTTTATTTTTTAAGTTTATTTTTCCTCACACTGTCATGGAGAAGGGTAAGGTTCTTAACATTGAGGAATATGGCTTGAATTCGAAGTGGATGTCTTCTGGGAACTTTTGTTATATTAAAAATATATTCATTTAATGCTATTTTAACTTTTTCCCCAACCCTCTATTACCAACAAGACCTTGACTGTGATCACTGTCAAAGGATTACTGTACTTGAAACTGGAACTAACTTGGAAAATCTAGGTGGCTGTCTAAGCTGACCCCT